GAATTTATTAAAAATAAATAATAATTATAAAATAAAAATTAATTTCGGTCTAAACTCTATAAAGTATTTACTTACTATGTTGAAATGAAAAAAACGGAGATATTTCTTTATTATATGTTTAGTTTAATTAGTAAAATGAATCCGTTGTATAAATTACTATGTAGAAGTAATTAATAACTTAATAACACGAACACTAATGACTATGTAAATAAATTACTCATTGTTGAATTCACGTTATGTATGGAATGTTCAAGTTCAAACACTTCTAGACGTTTTTGGAAATTTGACAATCAATACCGATTAATTGTAATTACTGTAAATTCATAGAGATTTTGTAATAACTATGTGTATTTTTTCAAATTTGGGTTCTTAACAAGCTAACCCTGTGATCTCATCAAATCGTTTCCCACATAATTACAAACTCGTGCACACTTCTGTGTACCTAACCTAACCTATTGAACTTTATTCTTGACATTTTCGTTGGTTCTACATATTGTGGGTATACTATTATTTCAAGAGATTAATTAACTACAATTAGCTTATATACTTTATAGACATAGTGTATTCAAAATGTGATCATATACATTCTGTAATTTACAATATACGCTATATTATATACCTATATATGTGTTGGTACGGCAAAATAATGACTCTTGTCGTTATTATTATAATTACAAGTAGGTACCAGAGGTACCTAAGTATACAGCGATAAGTAATAACGATAATTGATTTTCTCAATAAATTGTTTCAATCTAATCTTTGATGTTAGTCATGAGACATACTTATATATAACACGAAATACTTACTTAATATAAACATCGTTATATCTTGACATTTTGAGATTTAAATTATAATAATATAATAGATTAATATTATACATACCATAATTACATGGTATTACCTAGGTATCGCTAATATTTGACTAAATTGATAATATAAATGACTTTATTTTGAAATATTTACAGTTGCTACGATAATTTGACGTCTGAATAATACTATTTCAATGGAAAATATATTTAAACTATACAAATTAATCTCAAAATGAGTGGTTATAAAAAAAAAACAAAACTTATAATGCAGCGCATCACTACGTATATTTGTCAAAGAAGCCTTTTATGCGAAAAAAAATTTTATACTAAACCATACTTTGGAGATACCGAGAAAATATAATGATAGAAATAAGAAAATCGCCGTCATGACCTTCGCTCGAGAAAATCTATGCACGTGTACATTAATAAAACGTTAATATATTGTGTTCACTGGTTATACAAAAGAAGAAAATCGTAGAGCATAATAATATTATATTAATATTACAGACTGCAGTTGAAGTACAGTAACTATTTAAACATTTCATAAAAAGCTGACGTTTAATCGAAATTATCTTTTGTCTCAACAGCCTCGAGCTATTTGTTTTAAAAGTAGATACACATTTTATTATTACAATACCATACTCGTTTAAATGCGAATTATTTCTTGAATTTTTTGAAAGCGCAATTTTTTTTTGTATTTAGGTATAATAATAACTTTTTGAACGAATGTTGGTAAATCGTAAAATTTAGAGTCCGTCGCTAATACCGCTGTAACTCCAGCGCACCTGGTACATAGTATTTATTTTTTATTTTTTTTTTACGTTAAAGCAACGTGTCCAGGTCAGCGGAATCAGGTGGTACAGGCGTCTGGTATATAATAATAATATATAAATATAAATCATAGTTGGCCACGTTTGGACACGGAAATTCCACTGGTAAATTGGTGGAAAATTTTTGTTATCTACCCTTGTCCAATCGGATGTAGCAGCATACTCACGAGTGCCCTCGTTTGTTATCATTAAAAAAAAAACACGTCATAATTCTAAACACGAATCCAGAAAAACGGTTAGTTGTGTACTCAGATTGCCTATCCAGGACGCCGTTCTATCAAAACTGTATTATTGTACAGGAAAACAACAGAGACGTATCGTCTCGGTATATAAATAATATATATTCATATATATACCTACCGAAGGAAAAGTCGTAGGTAGTAGCGTTAAAAAGAAACCACTCATAAGATAAAAACGAAAAAGATGTCGAGGTCTTGGGAGAGAAACGAGTGGCAATATATATGTTACTTGACGGTTTCGTTTGCAGACTGAGATCGTAATAATATTTTGACGGCCGATTCCTTCAGAGTTCGTATTCATTGCGTCGACTCAATTCGGCACGAACCAGTATCGGATAGTCGACAATAGGACAGAAAAAAAAATTCTAAAGGATAATAACGTAAATACTTACTTGTAAGCATTATTTTTCACTCCGTGAAATGTTTTCGTTCTAACGTCTCCCCGAGTGGCGATTTGTATAATACCATCGTCGTCGTCGACCATTAATCAGAACCGTTAGGAATATATTTGTTCGGAGACGACGGAGGCTGACGCGATTAACATCCACGACTAATTTCTACGGTAAAAAAAAAAAGTAAATAAATAAATAAAAAAAACCCTTTCCTATGAAATTTACTCGCGTCCAGAGCGCCATATCGTACCCACGGCGGTGTACCCTTCCCCCTCACAACCACCCCCCCCCCCCCACACACACACCCGCCCACGTGTACAATGAATTTCTCTATTTCGCTCGTTCAGCCCTTTTAAACGGTCCAGTAGGGAATAGCATCACGTACAACCGTGCAGGAGGGCTCGTATAGCATTATAGTGCTGATAACACTCCTCGCACACATCTCGTCGTTACACTGACAAGGGTCGTAAAAATAAAAAAAAACGCACACAAATTTAATTTAATTTACCATACACAAATATGTATACATTTTTCTTTTGTTTTAGCCTTTTTTGGGGCTAAAAAAATTACACACGCTGCATGAACGTCTATCGACGCTATCAATACCTCTCTATATTATTATATGTATAAATACCTGCTCACTCGCAGTATTGACACCATTGTTTCTTTCCACCCTTATGTTATTCTTAATAGTAATTTAACACGCCTAGATAATAATTATATAATATATGAAATAGACGATGAAATAGTATATTATATTAAAGTTAATTTAACGTATCGTTAAGATATCACGTCTGTGGGAATTCAACTGGTTAATAGGTACTGGTGCGTGTTTGACATTTTACTTTGAACCTATTACATGATAATTTATTTGTAATATAATGATAATATTATTTCAAAAACATCGATAAGAACTGAAATTAATTCGACAGTCGTTTAGTCGTCAAATATCGACGGGGCCTCAAAGTAGGTACTTTTTAAGCTAACGTTGTCGTCCATTTTACACTTTTTAAATAAATCATACTTATGGTTCTAGGACCCTTTGCCGTCTTCAGTTCGCGAACTGGTGTAGGACTAATAAACCCGAAACCAGATGAGGGTGTGTTAAAGCATACATGGAGCATAATAAACCAATTCGCGTGGCAGTGCACGTTGATTTGAAATCGAAATTCACAGTATATCGAAATCGCGATAGAGTAAAAAAACATTTATTTTTAGAAATTTTGGACGATTCAAAACGAACGATAGGAGTAAAATTGTAGTCGACTAAATGTAATGGTCATATAACAATTAAACATATTTATTGAATAAAATATAACATTAATAGAGGTAGGTAATAGTAGTAAAAAAACAACTTAAAATTTATTAAAATACAATACTTTTGATTTTTGCAATCGTTTCGCTTGTCATAATTATAGACTGTTTAAGTACTGTATATTATATAAGAAGACGTAACATCAACAATGTTCAGCACGTTGACGCAGATCGGCTAAAATTGATTTTACAGCGATAGTATTATATTATAGAGGTATTATATGAATATTATGAAAATGAAAAACACCAATATTATTAAAGGCATTGCTTTTTATGAAATATTATTTTAACAAAGAGTTACAATCGTTTTAAAGAAGAAGAGAATACCTATATATTAATTTAGAAATATACTTAATGTAACAAAAAACCAAAATGAGATTCCCTCAAAAACGTTTTTATCTTTCATCTTAGTGCTTTAGCTATAAAATCGAACAAGAAGCAATACTTTTAAAACCATAATCATGCATCACCACGCTTTAATTTACTTTTACTATAATTTCGCAATCATAACAACCAACAGTTTTAACGAGGACATAGGGTCAACTTTAAGATATTTTTAATCAGCGTTCAAACAAAAACAGATTTTTCTAAAATGTCGTCCAAATGTCTCTGTAGTCACATAGGTATAATCGAATTACGAAGACGCTAGTGAAATGTAATATTTTTGATTCGAATACAAAAATCTATGCTTAATATTATCATTTTAGTTATATTTTATAATTATTAGGGTTTGGAGGTTTAAGAAGTTTCTTATTTTTCTATTATATACTTTCCAGTTATAGTAAAAATATATTATATATTTACAACAATGGCCGTAGTTTTAAAACAGGCGCGATTCTAGGACTACATTTTCGTATGTGAAACAGTAGATTTATAATTAAGTTTTAACTGCGAATAATATTCCTCATTTCCTCCCCCTTCTCCAATAAGTAGCACCAGCAATGTTGGTATGGGCAGCTGCCCACCCTGCCCATACGCTAGAACCACTACTGTTTTAAAAACAAAAATTCAAAATACAAATCTTTGAATTTTATATCATTTGTTTTGATAAATGTCTTAATATTTCTTAACTTTCTTAACTACCATACTGCCAGCAAGGACCCACCATATTGCATCGTTAAATTATAATATTATTATTATCTTTATGCAATCACTACAATTATTAATTTATTATTCTTATTGTACCTACTTTTGCTATTAATTATGTATTACCCAGTCTGTTTGAATTGTTGTATACAATTTATATGTCTGAATATATATAATATATAATAGACATATAGGTAGTAGGTATGTACTATAATAATTTTCATATAACTTAGTTTTTGAAAAATAAAATATAAATAAATAAAATGTTATCATATAATGATAAGGTTTTGTTATATTTTCGGTCCGAAGGCGTGCAGCAGAGCCCGATAAATGCCACACAAAATCAACGTGGGCCTCGTGGCGCTGGCAGCTCTGGCGGCGGCCGTGTTAGCCGACCCGTCGGTGGACCGGAGGGCCAGCATGGGGTTCATGGGCATGCGGGGCAAAAAAGACCGCGACCAGGGCGGTGGAGGCAGCGGCGGCGACGAGACTTCCGCAGCTGTCGACCTGGACAAGCGGACCATGGTGTTCCGGCGCCCGATGTTCGACGGCGGCAGCAGGCCCGCGGTGTTCGGCGGTGGTTCGGCGGAGGGCTTCAAGCGGGCCAGCATGGGGTTCATGGGCATGCGCGGCAAGAAGGACTACTACAACAACAACAAGGGCTCGGCGGCCGGGTTCTTCGGCATGCGCGGCAAGAAGGTTCCGTCCGCGGACGCGTTCTACGGCGTCCGCGGCAAGAAGTGGCCGGACCGCGAGGACGCCGTCGACGCGGACGTCCAATTGTCCCCGATATATATCCTGTACAGGATCATCGACGAACTGAAGTCGGAACTCTCGGACCGGGGTGAGCGTTTTATTTTTGTAATAATAATAGTATTTAATTACCCACAACCTAAAATATTTGGGACACGTTAAACAAAATGTTTAGTAAATGTTTAGATTACATGCAATATAAATATATTATTAAATATTACTACAATATTGGTCTACTCACTCAAGAAGTCAAGCCTATAGCTGTGTTGCGAGTAGGGTTCAGACAAAAAAGAAAAAAACTAAAAATAATGATACAATAAAAGTAACAATTTTTTTTCAATATTAATTTATATATCATATGATATGCCTAAATACAATATTTTATGTAACGAAATCCTTATAACACTATCAACATATAATGTTTAAAACTGTAAAATGAGTATAGCTATTATACCAAAAACCAATAAATTAATTTTTCACCAGACACAAATTTTGCAAAAAAACAAACAAACAGGTGATAAAACTCATTTGGTTCTCACTTTAGAGATTACAATCGCACTTGAACTCTTATATCTATTAGCACGAGTATGTACTGAGTATTTAATTATTATCCCGCGGTGAAGGTGGCTAGTATAGGTGATTTAGACGTTAGCTGGTGCTGTACCGTGCTATATATTGAGCAATGTTTCTCAAACTGTGTGCCTCGAAATGTCATGCAAATTACTGAGTAGGTAATAATACTAATTGTTCAAAATTTTACTTACAATTGAATTTATTTCGTATTCAATTAGAATATGATTTTACATGAGTTTTCCTAACCTAGATAAAATACACCATTTCAAGCTGAATAATTTACAAAGGCTGTTGAACATTTAGACACATTGACCCAAAATCCAACACGTTTTGCCTTTTGGGTACAAATAGACAACTACGTTTGGACACAAAGGAATATAAAATAAAATATATTATTGGGTGCATAACCAGAAATCTACCTCCAAAACCAGAGAACGTTTGGGTGCAAAAAAATTAACTGTAATATAATATTATATTGGTACCTACGTAAATACTTAATTCAAATACTGTTATCGCTAAGCAACAAAAAAACTTTATATATTTAATATATAATACATAATGATCAACATATTTTTAAATTAAAGTTGCAAAAAGTTTTTGGGTGACAATAGTATTAACTATAAAATGTCAACCTCCTCGTGGTGTCTCTTGGGTAACGCTAATAGGCTCTAAAAAGTAAAATAGTAAAAAAAAATTTTTTTTAAACTTTTACCCAAACTTGAAATTTAAAAAAAAATATGATGTACCTAAACGTTGTATTCATTGGTATCTGTAAAACATTTGTATCTAAACGTGCGTAACCAATCGTATTCTCCTTATTCCCAGATAAAATAGCCTTTTGTACCCAGGTTCGAAAGGTTAGGAAAAACTGGTATAGAGCAGACATGTGAAGAAATAAACTGATAGCAGTGGTTCAGGGGACAAAATTGTTAGAACAAGATACAACCATACAATATGGTAAATTTTATAATCCCATTAGTCGAGAAGAGAGAGAGACGTTTAACAATAAAGATAACAATACTTTTGGATAGAAAAAGCATTAGAATAATAGATAAATAAATCCATTCAGATTCTAATATTCATATTTCGTCAATTTTAGAAAATAAAGTGCATATTTTAAAGTATAATATATTTTAAAGTTTTCTAAAATGAATTTATGTTCCTACTAATTATAATATAAACAGGAATTAATAATAATTTAAATATATTTAAACTTAATCTAATCAATAAATATTAAAATAAATCTGTTGTTAATAATTTCCTAAGACGTTTTTCAATAATGTAATTTTCTTTGTATCTACCTATTGCGTTATATTGATCATTTAGCACTGACCAATCAAAAGATGAGAGTGTATTATATTTATTGAAGTTTATCAGTCTAGAATCATAGGTGTAATCTTTATAAACTTAAATCATCAGCTCTGTCGGGATTTTTCGCTCAACAAACAAATGTTGTTTAATCTATACATAACAAAACGCACCAAAGACAAATCTATTAAATACACCCACTTGACACGTGCGGGTCCCAAAATGATATTTGGTTATTTCCTATATAGTTACTCGAATGTAGGTACGCACTTAAAATCGTACGTGCCTTACATTATCAGCTAACAAATTATGATTAAAAACATATACTACGGTGGCCGGTCGGTTCTATTATAACGCACGAAAATATAATAATGTGTCCATTGACTCGATTGTATATTATGCGTTTATTGTTTCAGAGAGGAATTTGGTGGCGGCTAAATTCGACGAAGAGAGAGAAATGCGTTGAATTTTAATTTATTTTTTTAATAATATTACCGTAGCACGAAATTAATACCTACTATATAATATTATGAGTTTTGCTATTTAAAATTGTTTAAGATGACTTATTTAGTAGTGTTAATGTCTATGACGTTAAATAAACATTTTATTGATTGTATAAAGGAACTACATAATAACTAATTTGTTTGTCTACATTATATTATTATATTAGATAATTATATATTATATTATATTGTTTACAACTATTAATTCCGCGTTTTATTCTGTACATTTAATTTGTCAGCTGAAGGAAAAAACACAAATATTATGAATTATTGTACTGCAAATAAATTCATTGATGTTAGTTACACCCTGCACTCGGCCGATCATTAATCTTTCTTAACATTGTTTTTTACTCGGCACATTATTCAGATATATAATAATATATTACATTAAAATAAAAATATGACCATTATTCACCACTGCCAACCATTGAACTTGGTAAAAATATCGATGGAAACAATTTTTGGCTGAAAATAATAACCAATGATCGGTGCCATAATAGTATGGGTTATAGTTAGGTACCTATACATATTATATATTATGTACACCTACCTATAAATTATAATATAGGTATAATCATAGGTACAGTTGAGGACTCGTATGAATTTAACCGAACTATTATTACTACCTAACTTAGATATTATATGTTTATTTCACAATCAACGGTAGTACGTATACATCCCAAGGTTTCTACCGGAAACTGCAACAACATAAAAATCAATTTATCTTAAAAAGGTCGTTGATCGAAGTATAAAATATTATAATTGGTTTTGCTACCAGGATGACCTGCTCAATACCAACGATAGTACCCCCTCTCACAGTGTGAATGATGATCCAGTTATTCGCGTTTAAGTAAATAACATTTACCTGTACGAGAACAACAACGAGAGAGACGGCCAAAATGTAATACCTTGCTGGTCTAGGAAAAGGGAAACGAGAACTCCATTTGTATAATATGGAATATAGTACACAGAACAGCATTTTTACTTTTCAAATTTATCAATTATCATAGTCGTTGAGTCCCAAGCACCTCCAGGCCATACAACATTTCGTTACATTTTGAACTTTTGTTTTATATTTTGATAAAGGTCTATTTTATTTCAACTGTTTCAAATTGCTTAATCTATTAAGCTACATACTCTCCAATACACCTAAATCTTAGTAGGCTTGAGTAAAAAAAAAAAAAAGAATCAATACCTATAGTTGATAAATTGATTTTAGTTTAACTTTAGATTAAATCAAAACATGTTGTTTTATACAATTTAATACGAAACTAAAAATGTTGATTTGTTCTGTTCACAACCGGGTTTTTCAATCCGGTTGTAGTTTTAAATCAAGAAATCGTCATAAATTAAGACAATCACCGGCTATAGATATTCGATTATCCGTTGTCATGCATTTCTTTGATGGAATATTTATTTATACTATGGTAACGAAAAAAATTATGATTTTTAATCCCCCGGCTAACACAAAAAATTAAAACCAAATAATATGTAAATAACGCAAACACAAAGTTTCATCAGAAAATAAATACCTATTATTAAACTTCCAATATTTATTCAAAAATAACGCATTAATCCAATTTATATTTGAACTGGACTTAAACAATATATATATAGTGATGAAATATAATTGCATTCTTGGTGATAGAAAACAGAACTACATTAGACGTTATATTTTAAGTTTAGGTGTAGTATTTTATACATATTTTTCCTATTATTTAGTAGGTATATAATACATATATTCAAGGTTTGTAACAGGTCGGTATACAACTTCACAATTAAGTTAAATTGACAATAATCGAATTTAACTCTTTAAGTTAAAAATTAGTTAAACTGTTAACTGCTAATATCCATTGAATCGCAGTCTTGTAAAATAGGTACTTGAATAAAAGTATTCAAATTTCAAATACTTTTTAAATACCTCCTCAAATGTGTATTTTAAATAGGTAAGTACTTTTGAATCCAAGCAAAATATTCTAAAGACTTCCTCAAATTATCAGTATTTAAAATCAAATACTTATTTTGAAAGACTTATTAATTTAGTTTATTTGTTTATTTAAAATATTTTCTATTTTAATTGTGATCAAGTAAAAGAAAAATAATATTTTAGAATACAATACATATATGATAATATATTTTTCTACTGCAGTGAATTAACCAAAAATTCAATTACTCCGATAAAAAAGAAAACAGATGAGTATTTTAAAGTTCCACCAAATGATATGGTGTAAAATGCTTTATTAAATAAACGTAAGACATGAAAATCGTTTCAGATATTTTATAAAAAAATTGAGAGTATTAGAAGGTGCGTCTACTTTTTCAAAATATTTGTATTTATTGTTTATACACACATACATTTTTCACTGAATATTCAAATAAGGATTTTAAATATTTTTTTTAAATAAGTATTTATATTCTGATATTCAGATGTAGGTACTTGATTTTTTTTTTTAATATACTGTTGTAGTTTTGTACCTAATATAAAGGTGTGCAATAAAATGATGACATTTTCTCCTAAATTTATCAACATTCTTTGTTAAATTGAAACTAATAATTACAATAAATTAAATATGATATACCGTGGTTGGCGCTACACTAAAGTTTTTGAAAACTAAACATGAAAATATTATGATTTTTTGTTTTTAACATATTTTATTCCAAAAACAAATTCAAACAACCTTACTCATCAGTCATCATATAGTCATTAGCTCAATAATGCAATTCGTAGTAATAATTCATGTATACAGAGTGAGCAACGATAGTTCAGGAAATTTTTCAACAATGTGACATTTTTGGCACAGTATTTGGGTATTAATTTCATTTCTTTATTAAGCTCCAAATTCTACTTTTTCAAATATGGGCTTTTTTGGCACAGAATTTTGGGATTGATTACGCTTCTTTATTTACATCAAAATTCTATCTTTTCTCCCAATTGCTTCAAATTATACGCACACTGCACAGAAAGCCTTTTTTACTTCTCCGAAGTACTTTTTTGTGGATATAATATTACCAGGTACTGTGGTATTTGTGTAAAATTGACAGCTAGTGTTCGTGATACGCCATGTATCCTTAATCCTTGTGTAGTTGTATCATATTGTACATATTATTCTGCATATTTTGTGTCATCTAATCCGAATAGGTTATATAATCTAAGCACAGTAGTAAAACATTTATTTAACGAATCTCTTTGTAACGAAAAACTCACTATGACGTTATCATCATATAACTTAATTTTGGTTGGTTTGCATTATAGTATTATACCCTGCATAATACATTAATTCATTCTCTGTAACGAGTTTGTCACTCTCTATAACAAAACAATATATTTTACGATTTGTTATTTTACATACAACAACACAATGTAAAATGGTTAAACAATTTTCTGCAGAACAACTTGGCATTACTGATTTCAAGACTTTGGAAGGAGCAATCAAAGATGACAGACTATTCTAAATAGTTTTTTCGTATGTTAGATACAAAAATCAAGGTTTATATAGATAGGTATAAACTATTAAATAATTGAAATTAAATATTAAATTATTATTATTAATTATAATAATATGTATGAATGTACATTGTACCTATGTATGTATAACGGAGTTTCGTATAGGCAATTTTGATACTTACTATAGCTTACAAAACGTGCCTATTAGAAAGAATACGAATAAATACCATAGCCTATGCTACCGGAGGAAGACAATATTTTAACTGTACTCTATGGACTATGAGGCGAAGAAAGCGAGTTAAAAATAAAAATAATAAATTATATATTCCAATTTTATATATTGCTATGTATATTATATATAGCACATCTGTAGGTAAGCAAAACAAAAATTGTTAATATGTTCTTAGTAATGTTAATAGTTTATTGATGTATACAAAATTCAAAAAAATAAAATATAAACAATAATATAATATTTAATTGATTATAGTTGTAATTACATTTTTTTTTACTACAGTGTTTCTCTATCTATAAATTCTGCCGACCAGACCTTAATCAGACAAATGATGGAAAAATTTTATGAATTCGGAAAGGATGTCCACATGTGCTTTGTTGACTTCAAGCAGGCTTACGATAGCATAGTTCGGAATACACTGTGGGCGGCCCTAGAAGAATTTGGAATACCCAAAAAACTTATCGATCTCATAAGAGCATGCAACACGAATACAATGTGCAAAGTGAAGTTTGGCAACGGTACATCTGACAGTTTTGAGGTTAGCACAGGACTCAAACAGAATGATTCCTTGTCGCCAGTCCTCTTTAACCTAGCGCTTGAGAAAGTAATCAGGTCAATGATAATGCAACAAGGCATGGAGTTGTTATCAAATAGTACACTCCTTGCCTATGCAGATGATATAGTTATAATAGGCAGTACGCGACAAGATGTAGCGATAAGAACTAATGATTTGTCAAAAGCAGCGAAGCCAATGGGTCTAGAAGTAAATCAGGATAAAACCAAATATTTAGTCATGCGACTAGGTTAACAAGGGATATCTCGGACCTAGTAGTAGAAAACTATACCTTCCAACAAGTGGAAAACATCAAATATCAAATATCTTAGGGCAAACATAAATCAATACAATAACATGCATAATGAAATTAAAATTAGGATATCAGCCGCTAATAAGGGTTACTACGCTTTGGAAAAATTGTTCAAGTCAAAGCTCCTCTCTAGACGATCAAAGGAACGCCTGTACTTAAGTTTCCTACGGCCAGTTCTAACATTTGCATGTGAAACATGGTCGACTACTAAAGGAGATGAGGAAAAAATGGCTTGCTTCGAAAGAAGAGTTCTTAGAAGGATTTATGGACCTATTACTAGAAAATGAAGTGTACAGAAGAAGAACTAATGTGGAAGTACAACAAATTTATCAAAAACCCGGTATCAACGCTTACCTTATGAGTAAACGAATTGAGTTTGCAGGCCATGTATGGAGGTCAAATGGTATCCTAAAGAAAGCT